CCATATTGGAGGCTGAAGTCCTTGACCTTATGCAGCAAGTGCTTCAGGTCCTCCTCAGTTTTAGCAAACAGAGTTGTAGCACCTGCATAACGCAGATTGTTGATGAAATGAATCTTCCAATCCTGATGTGACATTTCTCCTTATACAGCCTATTTTAAAATTTAAATACATCCCAATTTAAAATTAAGGACATTTTAATATAAAGTGTTAATTTATTGTCTTTAACACGATTCACTTTCATTCTTCTCTCTCCTCACATTGACTGTTTTCTCCTACAGGGTGATTCTGGAGGACCTCTGGTTATTGAAAGTAATAACATCTGGTATCTTATTGGAATAGTAAGCTGGGGAATAGACTGTGGAAAACCAAACAAGCCTGGGCTTTATACCAAAGTGACTCTTTACCGGGACTGGATTAAATCTAAAACAGACGTTTAATGCGATAACCATGGGCAATTGTGGGTTATGTGTAGGTATCTAGCCAATTGTGTTTCAATATCATTAAATTCAAGATGCAAATAAGTGTAAACTGCCAACTCCCTTGAAACATGCCAAAGGTAGAATTTCTTTCACGTCATCAAAAGTGTTTTGCTTGCCATAAGCGAAGAAGATTCTGTCCACTCTACAAAATATACCATTACTAATATGTATCTCTGATTACTTTCTTGTTCATTTTTCTATTATAGCCCTACTAGACTCTGTTGGAGAATAACCCAACAGTTTAATAAAATAGGTACCAACTAGCTAAGTATTCTCTACTTTTTCATGGCCAGAACATGCTGTCTTACCCTGATGATGGATGTCATGATATTATACTCCTTATCAAACAAACACTCATTAAGATTGTTTATATTCAGTGCCAGACATATCATAGGGTCCCTATGAGTCATCTATGACTGGACGGCACTTAACAACAATAACAGATATATCGAGTTGATTAGTTTTTTCCAGTGCTAACATAGATGATATTGGTAGGAGGGGTACACTAGACATAAAACCAGGAATAAAAGGAAACATCTCTGAATCCCTTTTGCCTGACAGGTACACTCTCTTTGAAACTTGTAAAAGACTGATATTTATACCCAATATGTCAGGATTTAAACTCTTTAAAATATTGCACTGAAGTTTATCTTGGAGAAATAAATAAATCCCTGGATCAGACAGACACAAGGAAGCTGGAGATACTGCCTAGAACATACTACATAGAATAGAATTTTTCTATACTACGTAAAAATACCTCTCAGTAATTAAAAGTATTTAAAGTAGAAATGAGAAGAGTGAGAACTCAGAAAGTCCTTAGAGATACTCTAAGGGGAGCTCTGGTGGCCTAGTGGCAAGAAACTGCACTGCAAGCCTAGAGGTATATGGTTCAAATCCACCCGATGCTCTGCCAGAGAAGGAGTGGAAATCTCCTCCTGTACCAGTCAGATCTGATTTGACGGTACACATAAAAAAAATAACAAAATAAAAATTAAAAAATCAAAAAAATCCAACAGGGAAAAAAAAATAGAAGCTCCAATCCTGATGTAAATAGGCTTTTTATCTCTGTTTCATTATGAGCAACTTCTAAACCAATACAAATTGTCTTTCAAATGATTCCAATTCATAGAGACTCTACCTGTGTTAGAGTACAAATGTTCTCCATAAAGATTTCATTAACTAATATGTCTCAGGTAGATTTCCAGGGCTTTCTTTCCAGGTGCCTCGGAACGATTCAAACCTCCGTCCTCTCTGTTAGCAATTGAGCATGTTAACAATTTGCATCGCTCAGGAACTCCATTTAAACAAATTGATTCTCTGAACACAATTTATTTTCTAGACAGTTATATTTTCAACAAACTCCAGAAAAATTATGAGACTCAGAGAATGGAAAGCCAATATAAATAAAGGAGAACCCAGTGTTGGACATTAACAAATAATTCATACAAAATTCTGGTAAATAATTTGTTTTATAATTGGTAAAGCCTCTTATAATTATTATTTAGATTTACTGTTTAAAAACATCAGACTTTTTGCACAATTACATTTACAAAAAATTACTTAAATAATCAAAGAAATATCTTTGCAATGACTTTGCTGTTACTGTTAGCTGCTGCGGTGTCTGCTTCTAACTTGTGGCAACATCAGACAAAACAGAACAAAGTGCTACTCAGTCCTGTGCCATATCATGGATGTTCATCAGACTGTTATGATCCCTAGGGCTTTTAATGGCTATTTTTCAGACCTAGATCAGCTCTTCCTTGTTAACCACCTTATTCTGGAAGCTCTTCATCGTGTTAGCAGCATACAAGCCTTCCAGTAACCGGCAGGTTGTGGCTGTCTGTGACATGCACTGTGCACAAATCAAATGCAGGTCTTCGACATAGAAAACAAAAAGTCTACTACTCAACCACAAATGTTCATATTTGGAACAGCTTTATGATAAAATGGCCATTTTAATTTTAATGTACATTTAAATGTATATTTGTGGGACATACATGGTCAATGGATCTGTGTTCAACAAAAATCAAGTATTTTCTTTCTGATTCTGTATGCCATTTATGAAGGAACTGTTGTGTTAAGATATCCTTTCATGTGTTGTATTGAGTAAGCATTCCTCTTGCCCCCCATAATATTATATTGTATACATTAAAGTATTTTTATGGCAATGAACTCGAACACATTCTTTCTGAATTATCTCTATAATATAGAATTTGTCAACTTTGGGACTGTTGACATATTGGATGTTGGAAATGCTGTCTGTATATTATATCTGGTATATTGTCACATTTTTAACAATATTTTCTTTCTTATACACATTAAATGTCAGTTGTGATAACCAAAACTTTTCCAGATACTGCTAAATGTCCCTTGAAGAACAGAATAATTACCACACTGCAATAGAGTCAATTGTTTGAGGGGAGAAAAGTACTCTCAAAAACGACACAATTCATTGTTTTTCACACGTATTGAGAAATATCTTTCCTATTATTTTTAAAATGGTCAATCATTGAAAATGCTACACTATCTTCTTTCATAATTATCCAACTTAATTAAGCTCTTTGGACACTGAATCCAGTTGGAAGAAGATTATTTGAAA